GTCCTTTTCCGGACGCCGGGGTGTCCTGTCACCCCCCCATTTCCCTGTCACCGGGGTCCCCCCTCCCTGACCCCCCTAATTCCTCCCCACAGATCTGCAGCCAGCTGGAGGCATTGGCAGGTCCGTCGGCGCGGGAGGGTCCCTATGGCCCTGGGGACAGCTCTGTGCTCCGTAAGTGCCAGCGTGGGGACCCCCGGGGACACCCCCTCAGATGTCCCTGATGTCCCCTTGTGTCCCCCCACCTCCCGGCAGGCGAAGCCGTGGCCGTGGCCCAGCACCACGACGCCGTGAGCGGCACCGAGAAGCAGCACGTGGCCGACGACTACGCCCGGCAGCTGGCACAGGGGTGGGAGAGCTGCCAGGTAGGGTCTGGCTGCCCATTTTGGGGGGGAAAACAGGGTTTTGGGGGGTGTAAAGCCAGGGCCGGCAGCTGGGGGTGAACCCAGTATCACGTCCACGGGGCAAACTGGTATTTGAGGGGGTGAACTGGTGCCTGGGGGGGAAGAGGGGACTGGTGGCTGCATTGGGGACGAGCCCCTGAGCCGTGTTTTGGGGGACAAGGTGGGGTCTGGGTGGGCAGAAGATGGGAGCTGGTGGCTACGGCTTGGGGAGGGGGTGAGCTAATGAGTGCCCCTCGTTACCGGCCCTCGTTAACGGCCGTGTCACCCCCGGCAGGTCCTGGTGGCCAACGCTCTGGCCAGCCTCGGTGGCCGCAAGGAGAACTTTGTCTTCTGCAACGCCCTCAACATCAGCGTCTGTCCCCTGACGGAGGCCATCAGCCACGTGAGCACCTCGTTTTGGGGGGGATCTGGAGGTGGGGGGGAGCTGCGGGGTCCCAGTGGGGCTAATGTGTCCCCTCTGTGTGTGTGTCCCCCCGCCCAGTTCATCCTCATCCTCTACAACCCCTTGGGGCGTCCTGTCTCCTGGCCCATCCGGTTGCCGGTCAACGGGACGTCCTACGCTGTGACGGACCCCCAGGGCCAGCCCGTACTCAGCGAGGTGAGCCCAGGATGCCCCCCCTGCCTTGGTGTGTCCCCCCCCAGCCCACAGCCCCTCCTGACCCCCCCAATCTGTCCCCAGGTTGTCCCTCTCTCCAAGTTCACCCGCCAGCTGCGGGGGGACGGTGGCAGCGCCACCGGGGAGCTCCTCTTCCAGGCTTCTGCGCCCCCCCTGGGCTTCAGCACCTTCACGGTCTCCCGGCTGAGCCGTGGGGACCCCCCCGTGCCCCCCACCCAGCCCCTGGAGTCATCAGAACCTCAGGAGATCAGGAACGAGGTACGGTCCCGCTGTGGGGGACGCATTTCCCTCTCGGATGCCGTTTGGGGTCTTTCTCCACGGGGTCCTGGGGGCTGGAGCTGGTCCCTGGCTGGGTGGGGGGGGTAAAAAGAGCACCCCGCTGGCCCAGTTAAACCAGTGCTGGGGTGATGGGAAGAGCTGGGGGTGATGGGGCTGACACTCAACCCACAGCACATCCGGGTGCTCTTCGACCCCCTCACCG